TAGGTGGTGAAGTGGATAGAGCACAGGCCCTGAAGTCAGGAGGACCTGAGTTCAAATCCGGTACTTATTAGCTGTGTGACCCTGGGCAAGTCACTTAACCCCAATTGTCTAAAAAAAAAAAAGAAGAAGAAGAGAGAGAGAATGGGGGAGACAGAAGAATCAAGTGAGTGGGAGAGAGCAAAAGAAAGAGTGAGAAAATATAGAGGGGGTGGTGGACAGATGGAGAGACATAGACAGAGAGAAGGATAGGGAGGGATAGACAGAGAGAGACAGAGAGAGAGACTATGATTTAGTTTACAGGGGTGGGGAACCTGCAGCCATTAAAAGGATTTATTCTGGAAAACACATGTGGCCTCGAGGCCTCAGGTTCCTTATACCTAGTAGATAGAGAGCTGGCCTGGGTCTGGTTTCTGACACATACTGGCTATGGGACCCTGGGCTTCCTCTCTCTAGATACACATACATATACAATGACAGGCCCCCTCTCTCTGTCTCTCCTCTCTCTCTCCCCTCCTCCCCATATCCCCCTCTCCCACCTCTCTCTCTCTGTCTCTGTGTCTGCTCTCTCTCCCCCCTCTCCACACATACATAGACATACGTATACATACACAGCACACATATACATATACATACACGTGTGTACATACATGTCCACATACGCATACGCGTGCATGCACACATCCATATATACGTGCACATACAAATATGTGTGTATATACACAGAGACACACACAAAAATAGACATAAACACATTCATATACATAGGTATATGCACATATACATATGTATAATCCATATTGATATACATTCATATACACATAATATGCATGTGTATATTCATACACATATACATATGCATGCATATATTATATACAAATGTGTGTATATATATATATATATATATATATATATTTAGTGCCTTAAGGTGGCAACATCATACAGTGAGAAAGATCACTAGTTCTGGAGTAAGAAAAATTTGGTTCAAAACTAGCTTCTGCTTACTACCTGTATGACCTTGGATAAGTCACTTCCCCTTATGGGACTCAGTTCCTTCTTCTATAAAATGAGGGCAGCTGGACTAGACGGCCTCTGAAATTCCTTTCAGTTCTAGATCTAGGATTCTTTACGTGACTTTGCACAAGTCCTTTCCCCTCCTTGGGTCTCAGTTTCTCCAAATGAGAGGGGTGGCTCAGATGCCCTCTGAAGCACCTTCCAGCTCTGTGATGTCCTGACTTCAATTTTGTGCAACTCGAGACCCCCATCCTCTCATTCGATCCTCACAACAGCTCTGGGAAGGTAGGTGTTATTATTATCTTCATTTTACAGATGAGGAAACTGAGGCTGAGGGCGCTTATGTGACTTGGCGCATAGCTAGCAAGTCCCTAAGTTGGAATTTGCACCCGTCCTGACTCCTAGTCCAAGATTCTACCCACTACCCCACACTGCCTCTTTGCTGGAGATTGCCTAACCGAAATCCCGAAGACTTCCTGACAAGTAGAGGAAAATCTACCCCTGACCCCAGAAATGAGAACTCCTTAGACTTTAACTTGTCAAAGGTCTTTCATATCTGCTATCTCGCCATAACCTTCTGACTTTCTCATGAGGTAGGCAGGATACTATAATAGTGCATTACCTGACACAGAGTAAGCCCTTTATTGGAGGCCAATCTACTGACGACAACAGCAGCCGAGGTGGCAGATTAGAGTTCAAAGGGGCTTAGCCATCCATTTCCTCATGGGAGCCTCCCAGTAGCACTGTGAGGTAGGGTATTGTCCCATTTTACAAAGAAGGAAACTGAGGCTCAGAGAGGGGACCCAAATTTCCCAGGGTCACCCTGGTTGCAGAGCCAGTACCGAAGTCCTTTCTGATTATCCCCATTTGCCAGATGAGAGGACTAAAGTCCCACAGAAAATTAATAGTGGAGCAATGACCTGAACCCAACCTAGCCTCAGGTGAGAACAAGGTCTGATTTCGGGTTCAGAGGATCTAAGTTAGAAGCCAGGCGTGACTTTGGACAAATGTCATTGCCTCTCTTGGTATCTGTTACACCGTCCATAAAAGGAGGCCTAAATGACTCCTGTTATGATTTCTGAGGTCCTGCCCACTTGATAATCTCCCAATTCCATTGTGATATGGTGGAGATAACGCTGGATTGGAGTGAGAAGGCCTAGCTTCAAGTCCCGCCTCTGACATATTCCCTTTGTCATTTTAGGAAAGCCATTTTCTGGGCCTCAGTTTCCTCATCTGTAAAATGAAGGGGTTGGCCTCAGAGGTTCTAGAGCTGAGATTTGGGAACCCAGGGCCCTTTTCACTCAGGCTGGGGAATAGACAGAGTTAACTCTCCCCACCACTACACCTAGGTCTGTGGTAACCAGGCCAAGGCCATAACCTGGTGGTCTGGGCACCTTCATTACCCACACCAATATGGGAGAAGGCTAAGGATTTTGGGGGATCCCCAACCCCAACTAAGGGAAGATTCATCAATTGAGCCAGCCAATGCTGGCTAAGGTAGCAGGACCAGTTTGGAAGTGGTGAATGTCTCTTGGGCTTGGAGGTCAGCGGCCACCTCAACCCTATCCCAGCTTATTGGGAAGAACAGAGCACCCCAGGCACCAAGGGCTGAGTGGGCTGAGCACAGTTCCCCTCCCCTACAGTACACACTGCCAGAGCTGACATTTGGAAGCATACTCAGGGTCTGGACCCCAGGGAACCACCGGGCCAAGCTGGAGATAGCTTATCACCTTCACTATCTGTTCTCCAAATCTGGCTGGTCCCTATCAGAGACCATCTCCTCATTCC